GCCTTGCACGCCCTCATACACCGACTTGGCATCCGTCACGAGGTGGCCAGGAACATGGAGTTTTGAACGCCAGCTGGGCCCCACTTCCACACAGCCGTGCCACAGAGCGTCGAAAAGCTTCTGGCTCTGCTTGTACAAGAGCTTGCCGGCGGCGGCAGACATACTGCAGCACTCCGCAGCCATGCTGCTACACACCACCCGGCTGATCTTGTTCGATCGGAACTCCGACATCGCCGCCGGGGCAGGCCTTTTCAAGCAGTCTTTGGACGCCACAATGTGAACTTCTCCACTCCACGTTGCACCGCTAAGCTGCCGGCGCGGCCAAGGCTCGCGTCAAAGAAGGTCACCAAGACTCGACAGGGCCCTCCCCAACCGAAGGGAAAGCCAAAGGTCGCGGGCTGCTGCGTGAAAACGGCTCGGCATCTCCTCACGCGTGGCTCCCGACACATGAAAGCGCTCACCTCGAATCGAAGAGCAGCTCCTGGAGCAATGGTGAGCCGGCCATGGAAGCTGTGCCACCAAACGCCGGTAAGCCTTCAGCGACTCGGTACCTCGTGCTTCTTAACAGCGATCGTCTGGGGAGGCTGGATCGCCAAGACATAGGCGGCAGTCATGTCTTTGTAGAACACGCTGTCCTTGATGGAGACCTTAGAGCACAAGTAATCCAAGTGGGCATCCTGAACCAAACCCCACACCTTGATCTGGAACCTGGCCTCGACGGCGTCCTTGAGTTGACTGATGGCCTTGCGGTCCCCACCATCATTCCATCATCCACACGCAAACAAAGGACTGCCACCAGCCCTTCCGCACGAAGGTGCGCAAGGCGAAGGGGAGCTCCTGGAAACCACACTCTGCAAGCAGCTCCTTGGCGCACTCAAGGACGAGGGCCTCGGCAAGACCATATTGGTGCTCAGGAGAATCAGCCAGAGCTCGCTGCTCGCTGATCGCCGACCCGCGACAAAGGCCTCCTCCGGCAGCAGGGCACCAGCTACACAGGAAATCGGCGGCACGAGCACCCGGCCTCGTTGTTGCAAAGCTTGATATGCACCACACAGTAATTTTCGGCACCAACTTTGCGGCAAACTGCCGTGACCATCCGAAAACCATAGGCCACGGCAGCAACGTGACCTCGTTCGGGACCTAAAGAGTGTCCATGGTGAGGACAGAGCACCGTGCAGCAATTTGGCGTAGTAGAGTGGCATCTCCAGCCAACATTGTGGGCCCCGTGGTTGAGGGGCGCGACCAGAAACAAAGGGACAAAAGTCAGTTCAAGCTGCAACCAGGACAAGCAAGGTCCGGCGCAAACTCACTCACACAATCCAGCCTCGTCGGCCGGCCGGCCGGGGCACATCGAAGGCTGGCAAGGAGACAGGTTGTCCTGCTTGCCAGCCCTGCGCCGCAGTCTTGCAAGAAGACTCACACGTCGGGCCGCCGTCCTTGCCGAGCTGGTCGCGGAGCGCAAGTGGTCGTGCAGCCGCGCGCGCGTGATCGGAGAGGTCGCCACGCGACCTGAGGAAGCCATTTCCCGAATTGCCCGCGCAGTCTTGCCGAGCGTCGTCTTGGGTCGCATCGGTCGGGCTGGCGCAGGCACAGGATTCCGGACCTCAGCTGCCGACTCGGCAAAACAATGCAGCCAATGCAATCTCGCTTGTTGAACGTGGCGCCACACTTCGAACAGAAGGCCGCCTCCTCCTCGCAAGAGTAGCCGCAAGCAGGGCATCCGGAAAAGGAGCCGGGCTGGCGGCCCCGTGGTTACGTTCGGGCACCCTGGGTCGCCGTGCCAACGCCCTGTCGCACCACAGCTTGCGCAGGTCGAGCTCTTCTACAAAGCCAGGTTGCGGCACCCACCCCTTGGCTCCCAACTCCAACTTTTCCTGCCCTCGCCGGCACCGCACAAAAACCTCGGTTTTCCCGTTCCTCGTCAACGTTCTCGTCCTCATCCTCCTGGCGGCTCGATCTCGTCACGCACGGCAAACGCCTCTCTTGGCTCTCTTCCTCGTGCACGTGGGAACACCGGTGCCTCAGTGCTTTCTCGATGCGCTGCTGTAGCTGCCACACGCTGCAGACCACATCCAGCCGATCTATAAGCCCCGCACGGTTAGCAAGCGTTGCGCCCAAGGCTTGTCGCCGACTTGTCGCCCCGCATGCTGTCCGGATCCTCGACGGTGTAGTTCACGCGCAGCCGCTTGGTCCGCCACATAATATGAGGCCACGCTCTGTCCTGGAAGGCGGCGGTAGGATGACAATTCCTTCTCCGCCCGTTCAAAGCTCTCTGCATTCGACTCCCCGACCGTTTTTACTCCAGCAGGCCCCACATGATCGTCAGGCCGCCGGGCGAAGTGAAGTCCGAGAGCGGCTCACGTAAAGCAACATGGCCAGCTCGGAGTGTAGAGGTGTTTGTTCTTGAGCTTCGGTAGCCTTCGCCATGCCCTGAACTTCGTCCTCTCCCCGCTGAACTCCTCGATCTTCACTGGCCCTATGCCGGATTTTGAGCGATCTTGTTCACGAACCCGCCAGAAGTCCCAGCACTGCTCGAACACCCTGTGGCCGCACATGTCACCGGAAAGGTCGGCAAAGCCGGTCGTGTCGCAAACTCAGGCCTTCTCACATCATCGGGCCGTGCTCCTCCTCGTCCTGGACGTCGAAAGAAGGCACCTCAGAGCCACCACCGCGGAAACAACCACACAACAATAAAAATTACGATAACGAAAAAATGGCGAACAAATAATATCAAAAACACAACTGACACAATTCGATAGCGATAACACCAACAACAGCTAGGACTATGACGACAACGACTTTGACGACGAGGAACAGGATGAGGACGACGGTGAGACGACGAAGACAACGACGGCGACGCACGAAGACTTATCAGTTAGAGCAGCAACAAGTGTACACACGAGAACCTCGACGAGGAGTTCCAACCAGCACTTGCAATCTCACGAAGGCTTCAGTCGGAAACTTTTCTTGCGACATATGTCCAGTCAACTTCTTCCAGGTCGCGCAGATCTCACAAATTCTGATACTCGTTGCACCAGCGTTGATGCTTCAATTGCTGCTTTTTGCAGGGCATAACCCAAGCGCCGATAGTGTTGCAATTGCACTTGCCAGCGACTCTGGTGATGGCTTCGGCCTGGACAGCAACAGAAAAGCATCGTGGTTGCTGCCTAGCCGCGGCTACCACACACTAGGTCCATGTTTGGTTTATTTACCTGTATCTAAACACACCCAAAACCCTAAACCCTGCACCTCCCCTCACGAGGATGACGGTAATAATGATGATCTATCAAAGTACGACGATAATAATGATGACGGTGGCGGTAGTGATGGTCGCAAAATGATGATGGTTCTTGTGGTCATGGCCCTGGTGGCAATGATGTCGATGACGACTGCGATGGCGATGGTATGATAATGAAGATGGTGATGATGATGGTGATGATGACGACGATGATGATGGTGACGACGATGATGCTGATACTGATGTTGATGCTGCCAAGGCCACCAGCCGGTAAAGAAGGAGGCGCCAGATCCACGCCGACCACGCGTCCACCGGTCCGGAGGAATCGTTTCGCATGGGCGAGAAAAGAACCTTTGGGGCTTCCTTGGGCTTTTTGGGCGGCTTTAACTTCTGAGTCTTTTAGGATCATGTGCCTCCGCGCCGTTGGAATGGCAGCCTGCACGAACCCTCGCTACCTAGACTCAGACCTTCAACACCTGCAACCCGAAGCAGTGAACTCGTCTTGAGATCTTAATTTAAACATCTCAACACAGCCTGCATGACTTTCGGCCTGCCAGGCAAGGTCTCGAAGCCCTTCAGCCCAGCAGCTATCAAAACTTCTTGTTTGGCCATTTGTGTGCATCAGGTTGCTGGTGCGATCCTTGGCCATGGCATTGCAAGCACCATAAGGTTGCTGTAGTACCAGAGACTTTTTGATTAAGGCTCGGTTGGGGTATAAAGCTCGGACAGCATGAGATCGTCCTGTGCAGATGGCAAGACATCACAGTCATGTCTCGAGCACATAAAGATGCCGCAAGATCCCCAGAAATGAACACGTGCAAGTCACGAACGCACACGTACACACAGCTGGAGCCCATCTCAAGTTGAGTCGGATCTGAGAAGTCCATGCCCGACTGATAAGCCGCCAGGGGCTGTCCAGTCTGCAGCCTAGAGACGATCACGATCATGTCCACGCTGTGACCCTCCTGACTTTGGCACACAGGACTGCTTTGAGGCTGAGATGCAGGATTCCGGGTGTTTGTCATGTTGGCAACATGGGCTTGCACACGATACCCTGCAACTGCAACGGTATGTTTGCAGTTGCATGCATGCATTGATATGCATGCACAAACAGTCTGTTCCCAGACGAGGTGGGGTCGCAAACAAACCGCGTCTCGAAGTTGCCCAGGGTCTCAAGCTTGCAGCGTTAGACTCTGGGAACCCTCTTCAGGGGTTCTGCGTGGGTCGCCCATCATCTCCTGCTAGGGCTTGGATGTTCCGGGACTGTTTTCGAGGTTAGGTCAAGAGCTTGGGAATCTGTTGAGTTGCTTCTGAAGTGGTGCCGGCTAGGATTGAGGATGTGCCACGCATCATCTCCTTTGAGGGTGCTGGGCTTGTTGAGGTTTGGGGTTTCAAGACCGAGGACTCCGGTTTGCCATCACATATCCAGCTACTCCTTGGCGCCCGCGATGCTATGAAAAGCTTTGGGCTTGCCACCCATACGCCAATGTAACTTCGGCTCCGGGGCCTAGGACCCTTCAGTGATGTTTAGAGAAAGAACCAGGTTCCATGTTTGTTCTAGCCAAGGAGCCACTGCATGTGCAGCTTAGTTGAGTTGGCATGACGTTTAGGCCAGCAAAGCAGTGCCTCCATGTTGACTGCTTGGCTTGAACCAGACCGTAAGCACATATTACATAATTCCACGAGTTATGATCCTCAAGCTTGAGACCTCCACTCGAAAAGTCATCAACGCAGACCCTGGACTCTAGACTTCTGAAGAGCTTCATTCACGCCGTGGGGCGAAAGCATCCGCCAGCTTCGTGCGTGGCACCAACACGAGCCGCTCCAAGGCCGCTTTGCTCACAGCTGAGGACCCACCGTCACCAACGAGCTGTCCTCAGGACAAGGCTGAGCCCGAAACGAGCGCGCACCCCAAGTCCCCAAAACCTAGAAGCCCTGAACCCGAAACTCGCAGGGGTGACAGCCAGGTTTCGGTGCAGCTGCGGCCCTTGGATTTCGCAACGATCACAGAACGCCGCCACGAAAGCCCCAGCCTTTCTGGAATACATTGGATTGTGGGCTTCGGGGCATAGGACTTAAAGGCTCAGAGTCTTCAGGTTTGAAGGAGCCCGGGTGTAATTGTTGGATTTGGGATTGAGCATGCAGGGTTAGCATATCCTATGACGTCTGAGGTGTCTTCCGAGAGTTCGCATTGCTGGTCGAGTTCGGGGAGGAGGCTGAAATATATGGTTGTCGAGAGAACGCATGTGTACAATTCAGCAGCGAATTTTGGCGGGTCTCAATCCTAATCTCGAGGTTGAGGGCAGGGCTGCCGTGTTGCATCGTATACCCGGGCTGCGCGGCTTTTGCTAATCCCCGGCTTGCTCTCCAATCCCTGCTTACATTGCGCTGCTACCCGACTTTGGACAAGGCGAGACAGCCCGGCAGCCTAAACATTTTCAATGATGCGTAACTTCGACAATAAATCCCTTGTGTTCACAAACCTCCGCATACATTGAAGCCATTAAACTAAAGTCGATGTAGGTTTCGGACTTCGCCTTTAGAATTTACGAACTCATGACTGTACACAAGCTAGTCAAAACTCAATCGCGGGCCGCCGGCGCGGAGCAACGGCGCAGCAAGGTTGGTCATGGATCCTTCCAGATGCGACCGGCGAGGATCGGATACATCATTCATGGCTTTGAGACGGGGGCAGGAGCTTTGAGTAGCGGCGGCGTAATTTTGGTGGAAATTCATACATTGGCACGACTTCACGATTTCGATTTCTCAAACTCTCACGTATCCAGCTGGCACGACGGGTTCAACACATCCTGCGACTCCTCGCAAGCAATTCTGAGGTGCCCTGAACATCGTCTACAGTCTGCATCATGCCGGTCCAAGCAGTGCAACGTTGAGGCCATCAGAGCTTTTCGGCACAAGCTTGGCCCAAACATTGACCTCTGCACAGGGGTTAGCTTGCATTCGGATTGCAGGACTTGGGATAACTAGTGTCTTGCGAAGTTCGGGGCTTCCCCGAGAAACGAACTCATGTTTTGACCGATACCTTCAGCAGTTGCCAGCTCCAGGTCGACATCTTGCTATCGAGAATTTAGCTAAAGTTTGTCCACGTGTTGTACGCTTTACCGCATGAAACTCTGACACTTTCATGGATGACGACGACGACGACGACTACTATTATTGCTGCTCTCTCTCTCTCTCTCTAAATACGAATAACTGCTGCGTTTGTTTACACTTGCTGCCGAAGTTGTTCCTCATGCTGTTACAGACATGACTCACGTGATCCTGGAAGGTCACCACAGTCTTGGAAACGCAACAGAACCGTCCTTTGCCTCCGCCTCTACAGCAGCAGGTGTCTGGCGCCACCTGCTCAGGACACGGGTTGCGGGCCTAGGCCAGGGCCTAGGCCTTAGGTACGTAGACATGGCTGACCAGGGACTCCCCATGCAGCGCCTGCTGGTGCCTGCTGGTGCAGCGATCGCTCCATTTTGTCGGCTGTGATGCTCTGTAAAGCAAACCATCTGCTTCTGCTGTGCTTGCTGCTACAAGTACCTCTAGGGGTCTGCTCGACGTTTTTTCGCCACGCGTTACAAAGCACTCTCCATGTCCTTGCGAGCTCCCGGCCCGGTACCCTGATCAAGGCAAAAAGGCATGGAACCAACACAACGAAAACCCATCCTCAGTTGGTAGTGGTTGTGCCTGTGGGGGTCCGCCAGGAGCTCCACACTAGGTGGCGGCGACTGGAGAAGCCCCTGAGAGAAGTGCCTTGGTGCACTGCACGAGTGTGAAGTTCGAGAGGTCTCGGAACGATTTGGAATCTTCCAGGATAAGCCCTCAGCTAACGAGGTGTTGCTAAAGAAGTCCGGTCTTTCAAGGAGTGTAGTACAGTAGTCCCGCCACCGCGAGTAAGCAAACAGGCAAAAGCAGAAGGACTGGGCCGGGGGCCAGTGATGGGTCAAGAGTTGGCAGGGGAGGTACGGAAGTGTCGGTGCTATGTCCACTCAAATGCGAGACGCACTTTGTGAACCCTTGTCGGAACTCTAGGCACCTGCAAAGCCTCTTCGTAATTCCAGGTGTCGAAGCGAAAATCTGAGGCGGCTATGGGAAACTTCCCATGCGAAGTTGCGCATCGAAGTCGGTGTGCGACAAGGCAATCGAGAGCACCCAGCGTTCGTCTCCCCCGGGAGGAGGGTCATACCTGCATGGTCTGCTTTAAGGCATCGCCTGCCAGGCGATACTTGACCAAATTTCGGTTTAGGGCCAATTCACTGCGAGGAAAGGATGGCTCAGCCCTTTTCTGCATGGGGGGCAGCAGTGCGGCGCACGTTGCAGCCTCAGCCTGAAATGCATAGAATACACGAGTTTCTACAAGCGGATCGATGCGATCCCCACACACACACAATTTACACAAACACACACACACACA